CAGAATAAGCAGCATAATCAAAGTAAGCATAAAAAGGTCTCATTTGATAGCAATTAGCTAATTCTGATTGCACATATGTAGCCTTTGACTTGCTGAAGTTGATTTTACCAATCAAATTAGACTAACCAAAGTCCAAAGTCCAAAGGGGACCTGAGTAACATTACATACTTTTTTGGCTAAAACTGATACGGAGTATTACCCAACACTTATCATTTAAACACTTACCAAACAGGAAGTTAAAAAGAAATTACCTGAAGTCCACTGGACAACGGGCAACCATTACAAGAATTGCAGCTGACCCATAAAACATCGCTGCCTGTATCTATTTGCACATAAAATTCTTTAGGTGGAGAGCCCAACTGAACTCTGGTGAAGTAAAGCCTGAAGCATATAAAAAACTCAATTAATGATTAATTAGAATGCAAGACCAACAGATCAACTATTCAAATTCATAAGTAATCCTCACTTGAATTGCTAAAAAGCTATAGTTACTAATTTACTATAAAATGACTGAGAAATGAAAAATCCCATTAAAGTATACACAAATTACTTATCCCAGTGAGTTCTGATTACAGAGCTTCAGCAATAGGAACTTAGAAATTACTATAAGTTTGAAAACTAAAGGAATGCAATTCAGTAAACACCACTCATTTACTCGAGTAAAAGATTCTATTGTGCAATAATAAACTTGAATCTGGTGGATTCTTTGAAAGAAATATGAGCAAGAAGGAAACCCAGAAAATTGAGAAGAAAATGACAGGATTACCCCACGAGAAACGGATCATAAGTGCCTTCAACGGGAAAATCAACGACGCCGCCGAGAGAACTCTGCAACATCCGGCCGTGCCGGACACGGTCCCGCTCTAGGAGTTGATCCATTCCAACTCGGTGGCTCGTCGGAAATGCCCTCTCCAGAGAAAACCTCATTGCGCCTCCCCCAAGCACTCCCACCACTGACACTAATAAACCGGAATACAGCGCCGCCACAACCACCAAATATCTTCCCGGCAGCATTCTTATCCACAATTCTTTCTCCCTCTCGATATATATACGTTTTGGGTCTTTTGGTACAAAATACTTTACCGACAGTACTAAAACTGTTTATATATCTGTAGATTTAACATAAGTAAGTATATCTTCGGCCTGTACAAATGCGTGTGTGGGAAGGAAAATATATACACGCAATCGAATACCTGAGAATCTAGAAGATGAAGAGAAGAAGATCAAGGGAATCCACCCCTGTGAAAAAGAAAAGTCCGCGAGACAACTACACCTCACCGACTTTCAAATTTATTGGCTTACCGGTTTACCTGTATGATTTTTTACCAGAAAAGGTACGTTTTGAGTAATTTGACTCTTATTATCCTTGTGATCACATATAAAACCTTCTTCCATAACAGGCAACGTTATAGTCGATATGTGGGAAAAGAAGACTGTTAGCAGGCTTGATTTTCAGATTACAACATACTGTATATGAAAATTCAATAAGATCTAGAATGTTAAAAGCCAAAAAAATAAAACGCATGTTGTGAAATCAAGAAGATAGAATATAAATATGAAATAGATATAAAGATTATAACCTATGCATATTTTACTTCTTCTGAGTGAGTATACAAAGGATTGAACTAGCCCTATTTATACTAGTCAAGCTTGAGGATTAATCATCTGGGAATGATTTTACACAATTTGTTGGCGATGTTAGATTTAGAGAAATTGTTCAATATAGGAGTAAACATAAACATAATTGCACAAATAGGAGTAAAACTTAAAACTTCCTTCAATAGTAGTAAACATTAATTTTGTACTCTTAATATCCCTAACCTAGTTAATTCTAAAATATAACTTATTTGATCGTATTTAAAAAAAACTAAGTTCATTTACTAGAAACTAAGCCTTTATGCAGGCCATTTAATTTTAAAAGTAATCTAAGTTCACCCCAACAATATTAAAATATTAAATATTAAAAAAAATGTAAAAATAAAAAACTTTAAAAATAAATAAAAAATAGATAAACTGCATTAAAAATATAAAAAAATTATGCAAACCTCTCCCGCAGCCTCAGTCATCACCCAGCAATGTCACCTCCGATCGGCGAAAAAATGTCATTTTATGTAAATACTGCCATTTTTCTTTGAAAATGCCATAAAGATGGCAGTTTTACTCTTTGAAAATGCCAAATTTTCTCAAAATCTGCCATCTTGATGGCATTTCGGGAAAATGTTGACATTTTTTCGGTGGTCGGAGCTGGTGGTGCTGGGAGGTTGTTGAGGCGGCGGCAGACGCCTACATATTTTTTTATATTTTTTCATTTTTTTTTAATTTTTTTTGTTTATATTTTTTATTTTTTTATTTTAATAATTTTTTATTTTATTTAATACGGAGTATATTTTATTTGATATTTTTTTGTGTGTTTTTTACAATTTTATTATAAATTAATTAATCTTACCGAGTATTTCTTTTATGTTTTAATTATTAATGAAATTTGTTGGAGCTTGAGGTTTGGGTAGGGGTATACTTGTCCAAACACTAAAGTTAATCCTATTCAAAACATGGTACTCCTATTTTTGCATTTTGCTAATGTTTTACTCCTATTTGGGGAATTCACCCTTAGATTTACCTATGTGTCTAACTATGATTACAAGGATATAAATTACATAAGTAGGCTCATTACAAGGACCAGGAGTAGCTTGGTGTCCTAATGACAAGGAGGAACAATTCACACATGTCTTTTTCAGGAATTTACAACACATTGGTCCTATTTAAAAAAATGTTTAATTTGTTGTCGATTATCTTTATTTTAATCATGTACTTCCTCCGTCCCACCCGAAAACAACTTCCCACTTCAATATGAGCACATTCTAGTGGAAAGTTAAAATGTGTAGTTGACCTTCCAATAATATCCCTACTTTATGTCAAATCAAATAAAAAGTAAATAAAAAGTTAGGGTTGTTTTGATATTTTCTATGAAAAAATTATTTTTTATGGAAATGGAAAGTTTATTTTGGGACAGCCGAATAAGGAAAGTTTGAAGTTGTTTTGGGGACGGAGGTAGTATATACACTACTTTCATTTTACGATCAAACTTTAAACCTTTTTGTGTAAAAATACTATCGAGTTTCTTTCCATAGTATGAGACAAAAATAGGATTATTAGCTTATTTTATCTTAAACTATCATCAAATTCACAAATATATCCTATTCTTTAACTTTTATAAAAAAAGACTCAAACTTCATATTTTTCAACAATTATGCTTTTTTGTTTTGTTTTTTACAATTACACATTTTTATCAATACCACTAAGATATAAGCAATACAAGATTGTAAATTTAACATTAGAAAGAAATGAAAAAAAAAATATTAATATGTTTTTCTTCTTAAGTTTTACTAGTTCATCCATTCAGTAATGGCCTCAATCTTCTTGTTATCTACGGCAATCCCTGATCCTGAAACCACATGCCCGAGAAAGCCAATCTCCCTTAGCCAAAATTCACATTTGGAAAACTTTGCATAGAGTTGCTTCTCCCGTAGTGTCTCAAGAACAAGTATCAGGTGTTCCTCATGCTCTTCTTCACATTTGGAAAACTTGGCATAGAGTTGCTTCTCCCGTAGTGCATATTTCTAACATTGACATGATCACGACAATGTCATTTTCATTGTCGTCATTTTAATGTCATTCTTATAACATTGACATCATCACTATACGAAGTTGTGACATTTTTTTGACATTGTGACGTTTTCATATATTTTGACAATATTTGCGATATTGAGAAATTGTTTATTTTGTTAATGTTTAAGTGGTAATGTTTGAACATTGTATGATCTTTCTTGGCATTGTGATTTTTTTAGCATTGTTATATTTTTATGACATTGTAACATTCTTTCTTTCTTTTTTACAATACATACAAATATACAATATTGTGACATTGACATTGTTTTTAATATTGTTATGTTTATAGCATTAACATTGTCACGATATTATTGTGATTGCTTTCGATATTAAAATTGTCATGATATTAGCAAAAAAATTATAAAAAAATGAAACAATATATTATAATTGCTAAAAATATATTGCTTTTGTTGAAAACACATTGCTGGTAATATAATAATGTATTATAATATATAATATCTATTATAATATCAGGAAAAATGAAACAATGTCAAATAATGACAATTACAATGTCAACATTAACACTTGTACAAAAGGACATTGCAAAAATGACAATGTCAAAGATTTAAAAAATGACATTGTGATAATGACAATGTCAATTTCAATGCTGCAAAAACAACATTGTTATGACATTGTCGAGAAGGAACATTGTTTTCGATGATGTCATTGAGATATGTGACAATGTCATATTATTTTAAAAAAAATCAATGTTAGGAACTACCAGAATGTCATAAAATTATCACAATGTCAAATAATAAAATTGTCAATGCTATAAAAATGGCATTGTAACATGACAATGGCAATGCAACCAACAATGAAATTGCAATTATGTTACATTTTTTATATCATCACATTGTTTGTATCGTTTACATAATATTTACTTTCAGCTTATTTATATACTTTATCACTAACTAAAACATTGACACTTTTAGCATGATAGAGTAACATATTTTAATAAGTAAACAAATGGCATCACCACCATCAAGCCTAATTATCACTTACAAATTAAAACCATCTGTGGGGTACAATACAAAGAAAAATTGAGACGTCAGGCCGTAGAAATTCCAAAAGTGGAAATTGATTGGAGTAGAATCTGTTGGAATATTTCCGATTAATATGGCCTAATGACCAATAATTAATATGTGTTCTATATTTATGTATTATATATAATTATGTATTATATATGTGTATTATTTGATGGAAATAATACTTAAGGGGTACCATTGTGGTAACACCCTTTACGACAATATATTAAAGGTTGTGATGATTAGTTATTTCCCAATATATAACTACTCATTCCCTTATGAAAACACACGTACAACACCATCATAAGAGGAGAGAGAACATCACAAACTCCCTATCATTGAATACTCCATCTATCATTGTCCTTAAAGGGATTACATATCCAATTTCTTAGAGAATGACATCATCTTCATCAAATCTCTCCAATATGAACATTGGATACTCTCCAAGTAAGTCCCTACAATTATGATTAATTGTGTGATGTTATTTGATCTTGTTTATTATGATGATCATTTTGTCCATCATTTGGCATCAGAGCCTTTTCATAATATCACCATTAAAATCATTTGTTCTCTGCGTCTTTTTTTTCCTTTTAACGATGAATCTGCTAAACGCATGAGTACTGCCTAAAAGAATGTTTAAATAGTAACTCTTTGTCCTCTTTGGCGATTTGAGTTTTTCTATTAATTTTGTTTGCACGACATTTTTTTTTCAAATATAAAGTTGTAAATTTTAGCATTCAACTTATCAAGTTTACTGCTAGTGGAGTATATAATTCGTATGTTGGTATATCTATTTCGCGGAGTATACTATTACTGCGTATAATTTATATATATACATTACTCAGGGCCGGCCCTGAGGGTGTGTAGGGTGTCCAACCGCACAAGGCCCAAAAAATTGGAAGGGCCCAATTTTTTTGTAGTAATATACTACTACCTTCGTCCCAAATTGATTTGCAAATTTGACTTTTCTTGGTCAAACAATTTCATTTTATTTGCTTAATTAGGATGTCCATTTTTAATAATATTCTAATTTGGAATTTACAACTTTGAAGAGATATTAATATAGTTTCTGAATATATAAATTTTAATTATTAAAAATGGAATTAATTATCGATAGGGAGCATTGACTTTTTTTATTGATTGACCAAAAAATGTTGACTTTGCAAAACAAATTGGGACGGAGGGAGAGTATTATTTAGATGTGGAGCGTATATATGGGAACGAAGGAGTACTAAATCCTCCGTTAACCTTTAGAAACTAAAAAGATAAGAAACTTAAATAAACATCAACCCACTGGACCGAATCAACTAATTGTTGAAATAAGGACGTACAAACTTTATATTACCTATTTGTTCTACAAAATAAATAATTAAAAATACCTCTTAATAAAAATCGGTTTGGTTCGGTTTGAACCGATTTTATAACTCAAAAAAACTTCATGAAACCGATTTATGTTCGAGTCCCGACTTTCGGGTCCCGTTTGAGTCGGTGCGGTTTTGGTTCGGTTTTTTTAACTTGTGTTGAAACTTTGAAAAGAAGGCCCAATTATTTTTGTTGCACAGGGTCTTCATTTCCTCAGGATCGACCATGACATTACGTAAATAGAGTAAATGGGATAATTACGATTTACGTATATGGATTATTGATCTTAAAGAGCATGTAAGTTAATCTACCAGAGTGCTTTTCATGTTAACGAGTACATTACTTATCAATTTTTTATAACTATATTACACCGTATATTAATGTGGAGAATTTTGTTTCTCCTATGCCTAAAGTATAATGATGTAATCATACTTCACATATAAGGGACACGCACTTAAGTATTTTTTTTAACGTGGTGTGTTATTTCGAAGTATGCATTCTTGTTGAAAATTATTATGGACATGCCATACGATGATATTATACGAAGTATTCTTTTCTGTTCTCTATATAAATTGATTTGAATCCAATAAATTATTAACTTAAACTGTCGGCCCAACGGAAGACATTTAAGTTGACTTTATGGAAAAGATTGCATGCTCTAATTTGAGATTTTGTGCAAATTGTATGTAACATTATACAATGAACCCAACGGCTAGTTGTTTAATGGTATGTATGATTGTAGTATTGACTTTATGAACATAGACATCGCATTTCTGCCCAAAGGTGATGTGGGATGCCTATGTAGTATAATATAATGATTATAATGTCATTAAGTTTAATTATTGGAATTAGCCAAAGCAAAACCAATGATTAAACAAGACCTCTTACAATCTATTATTTCGGTGTTGATAATAGATAATGTACTCACATACTTTATGTTAAATTTGTCAATTTTTAATTTTCTCTTGTTCAAATCATTTTTGCATACACTTAAATTTTATAATCTCCAACAGCCACTTTATCATCAAATTGTGGGATTGAACCTTTAACTGGCACTAATTTTGCGTCATGGAGAGACAATGTGAGACTGACCCTTGGAGTTATGGATCTTGATTTCGCCCTAAGACATGATCCCCCCTGCTCTCACTGCTGAAAGTATTCAAGAGCATAAACGAGTGTATGAACAGTGGGAGAGATCAAATCGCATGTCTCTTATGATCATAAAGAATTCCATCTCGGTTGCCATTCGTGGAGCCATTCCGGATTCGGACAATGAGAAAACTTACTTGGACTCCGTAGAGGAGCAATTCAAGGGCACCTCCAAGGCTCATGCGAGTACATATCATGGAATGTTATTGATGAATTTGATTAAGGGACTTAAAATAGTTCACTCCATTTCAAGACCGTTGAAGATTTACTGTGATAATTCTGCCGCCGTAAGCTTTTCAAATGGAAACAGTTCGAGCGGGGCTGGATTGTATCTCGATACAAAGTTCTTGTTTGTACGTGAACGAGTTGAAGAAAATAATCTTTCTATCGAGTACATTAGCACTCATGATATGCTTGCGGATCCGATGACAAAAGGTCTACCACCCAAAAATTTTCAGGAACATGTGTTGAGAATGGGTTTTAGTCGAGACCTTACTTGATTAGCATAGTGCTCTTATGAACAATTCATGTATATAAGGAATTACTTGAATATTTAATTGTCTATCATATGTATACCGTGCGCACTAACTTTGGTATCATAGACAAATTAATATTAATTACCACATTACATTTGATCGTTTATGTCGTGTGACCTTAAAGTCCTAATACATGTGCTATAGTATGATTAGTGGGGGTCCCACATCTATATGGATGTGTGTGACTGTACTTCTCTATTATAGTATATATATATATTGGGTATTTAGAGCACATACTTGGCCAACTTAACGATTATTGGTCACTAGGCCAAGTGGGAGAATGTTGGAATATTTCCAATTAATATGGCCTAATGACCAATAATTAATATGTGTTCTACATTTATGTATTATATATAATTATGTATTATATATGTGTGTATTAGTTGATGAAAATTATAGTTAAGGGGTACCATTGTGGTAACACTCTTTAGGACAATATATTAAAGGTTGTGATGATTGGTTATTTCCCAATATATAACTACTCCTTCCCTCATAAAAACACACCTACAACACCATCACAAGAGGAGAGAGAACATCACAAACTCCCTATCATTAAATGCTCCATCTATCATTGTCCTTAAAGGGATTACATATCCAATTTCTTAGAGAATAGCATCATCTTCATCAACTCTCTCCAATATGAACATTGGATACTCTCCAAGTAAGTCCCTACAATTATGATTAATTGTGTGATGTTATTTGATCTTGTTTATTATGATGATCATTTTGTCCATCACAATCGTGAGGAATTGAATCGCCAAGCACTGTATCACACCTTGCAGGAAGCCGGCATACTGACAGTTGCCGGTCGGGTCCTCCGAAAGGGCGGATGCTGAGGCCAACGTTGTAGCTGTCGATGAGGCTGACGTCATACAAGTCCTTTTGGACAACTCTGTTGGCGATGGTGAACTCTGTTGGAAAGTGTTCCAGACCACACTCTGTAACTGTATTCTCTGTATGTGTTATATATGCAGAGTAAAAACATGCTGCAAGGTGCAGCGGCGGCAACGTGCGACGGCGCACTGCGGCGGAGGAGGTGAGCTGCGGCAACGGTAGCCATGTGCAGTTGGAGCGAAGTCTAAGGGTATATGTATAGCAGAGAGGTCTGTTGCACTCTATTACAAGCAGCAGCAACGGAAGTGATGATGCTTATGCACTGAGGTTATTTTTGTCCTTACAATATAAAGCAGTCATATATACGGATAAAAAAACTTCGAGACCTATTTAGGTTCGACGGGTAACTTTTAGTCTTATTTAGGTCTTTATCCCATGAAAATATAGGTTAAACTCCAATTTCCCCAAAATCAATTAAAAACTTGTAATTTATTAAAACATACTTTCCTCCGGTTTTTGTATACTTTCTGTTCTCCAATTCCATAGCTCTCTAGTTTTGCTAACTTGCTATTTGTGATTTCACATGTTAGTCTATTCACACAAGGCACTCATCTTTTTAGGTTAAAATGGGAAAATCATAAAGGATAATAGTTAAAATCATTAATGTATGCACCCAAATTCACTATAAAATCATTTGACTTTGCACTCCACTCTTTCACAATATTTGGGCTAATGGGGTGCATACATTAATGATTTTAAAAATGGGGTGCAAAGTCAAATATCACCCAAAACATGGGGTGCAAACTCAAATTCTCTCTTACTTAATTTAGCTGAAGTTCAGCAACATCAACAATCAAACTCAGGGTGAAAATCCAACTCAACTTGGATTCTTTTTTAACGTCAATTTTTAGGGGTAATTTGAGTTTGCACCCCATATAGTTATCCTAAATGGACTTTGCACCTCATTTTTAAAAATTTTTGTTTTTGCACCCCAACCCCATATAAAAAGACAAAAATGTCATCGATTAGGAATATGTTGAAAGCCAACATAATTGTTAATGGAAGGGCATTTTTGTCTTTTCACATGGGGTTGGGGTGCAAAAACGAAGACTTTTAAAAACAGGGTGCAAAGTCCAGTTTGGACAATAAAATGGGGTGCAAAGTCAAATTATCTCTTTTTAACACTGGAAGGCCCATTTCTGTTAGTGGGTGGCTAATATGCCAATAATGTAATAAATTTAGAGGTCGTTAGGTAACATTTTCTTTTCGGCTTATCAGGCTTATCAGCCAATATTTTCACTAAACACGTAACTTTTGTTTTGGCACGCTGAATTGTGTAATAATAAGAAACGGTAAGGTTGAAGTTACTTTTCTGGCTGTATTGGCTGAAGTTACTTAGATAACCATTTTAACTATTTTTACATTTAACTTTTTCTTTATTTTATTAATAAAATATATTTTAAAAAAAAATCTTTAAATCAGCAGAATCAACCAATGTAGCCACTTCAGCTAGAACTTCATAAATTTCAGCAGAATCAACTAAATCAGCCGATTTTTGTGTTAGCAAATGTGTTCTTAATGTTATTTACACCTAAACAAAGGTTAGTGTCTAATTTGCACTTTTGCACTTACCAATTACCATAGTGACTAATTTGCTCCTTATCCCCAAAATCAAATTATGATACGTAAGTTAAATCATAGAGCTTAAAGGTGGCTTCCAAAATTTAGACATCATAACTGAGACCAGGTTTTCAATGAAAATCGTCATAAATATTTATTTCATACTCGTTTAAAAATGATTAATTACCTCATACGTAGTATAACAAACATATACGGAGTAACATACTAGAAAGTAAAAAATAACTTCTAATAATCATCAAACTCAAATTCGATTCAACTAAGGCAAATGAGTCAAAACCATCAAATGAAATTATGAATAATCCACTCAATAATTCCACCGTCTGCCTTTTTCTTGTGTATTTCAAAATCGGGATTGTAAATGGTCTATCACGTGATCTAAAGGTGATGATATAAAAAATCTATATTTAAAATATATTTTATTAATAAAATAACGAAAACATTATATGAAAAAACAGCTAAAATAAACCTTTAGAGTAACTTTGGTAATACTGTCAGAAGAGTAACTTCAATTTTACTTTTTCTTATTATTACGCAATTCTGCGCGCAAAATTCAAAGTTACAAGTTTAGTGAAAAAGTTGATTGATAAGTCAAAAAACTTGGTACCAAACGGGCTCCTAATAGTTTTTCAATTTACTCACGAAATACAATCTGAACATAAACGGGATTTTTTCAGAAGTAGGCTGAAAAACAAAAATAATATCACTTTTATCACCTTTGATTTTTGTTTTCAAAAATAGACAAGAAAAATTTTTGTTTTCAAAATTAGCCTCGTGCCTTACTGCTTGCTCCGTAGACCGTAATCATATATTACTACGTATAACTTACTAATCCTATATACTACTCCATATCACTTTGGCTGAACCACTAAAAAAAGGCAAATGTTCACACATAAACAAATCTGTATAATATGGAATTTTTGTGATCTTTGAAAAAAAAATCATAAATTTCAAAATATGAAAATAACTGTAAAAATGTTTACAATAAAACAAAACAAAAAATATGTAACTTTAAAAAAGAGAACTATGAAAGTTTTAGGTAACTTTTTTATTTCTTACGATACTAAAACATGAAAACAAACTGATTTTTTTTATTTTATTGAAAATCAAAATTAGAAAAAAAATGTAAAAAACTATAAAAATGTTGAAGCAATGAAAAAGTCAGAAATAATAATAAAATTAAAATAAACATTATGTATAAGGAAAATTTAAAAACTGAAAAGGAAGAAAAAGAACAAAATAAGAAAATAAAAAATGAAAAAATAAATGTACAAAAAAATGAATTATAAAAGAATTAAAAAATATACAAAAACACAAATATCTAATTGTGTAAAAAAGAGCATATATTATATAAAATAAAAAAATATATAAAATAAAAAAATCAAAAATAAAAATAGAAGAATAAAACAAAATAAAATAAAAAACACATAAAAAATAAAACAAAAATAGAAAACAAAATATGTAAAAAAGTATTAAAAATTTCAGAAAAGGTTATAATTCCAAAAAAAATTAAATAGTAAAAAACGTAAAACATTGGAAAATATCACACATTTTATTGTTATTTTTTGTTGCATTTTGTTGCTTTGTATTTCTTTATGTTTATTTTTGTTACAGATTTTACATTTTTTTTATTGTTTTATCAAGTTTTATTGTTGATATTCACAGATCGAAATTTATCAATTTAATTATTTATATATCAATACATGATTTTTTTTATTTCAAGAAGGAGCAAAGATAAGTAGGAACCTAAATAAACAACTAAAATCAAATTCAAGTATAAACATTAACCATATGCAATACAATGCAACAACATGAAACACAATGCAACAACAAAAACAAAACGCAACAAAAAGAAACAAATATAATGCAACAAATTGCATTTTGTTGCTTTGTGTTTCTTTATGTTTATTTTTGTTGCAGATTTTGCATATTTGTTTTTTATTGTTTCATCAAGTTTTATTGTTGATATTCACAGATCGAAATTTATCAATTTAATTATTTATATATCAATACATGATTTTTTTTATTTCAAGAAGGAGCAAAGATAAGTAGGAACCTAAATAAACAACTAAAATCAAATTCAAGTATAAACATTAACCATATGCAATACAATGCAACAACAGGAAACACAATGCAACAACAAAAAATAAAACGCCACAAAAAGAAACAAATATAATGCAACAAAAAATAACACAAAGAATCGATCTATCACAATAAATATATAATTCAATTTATTACATTTATCGAGTATGTTATTTGACTTTGCTTCCTTTGCTTCTTATCATATATTTTTTATACATCTTAATTAATACGGAGTACATAGTTCTCCAAATTCTGCTCTCTTGTCTTCTTTTTCTCATTGATCCTCTCAGTCTTATTATCACCGTCACGTGCTTCTTTTCCCTTTATGCGTCTGCAAATAAAAATGCAAAGTACTTTAAAATATGACAATAAAATAACTAGTGTACTAACTGTCTATAATAATTCACTACGACACTTGGA